TGTCGAGCGTGTCGAGTTGGGGCCAGGGCGCTCTTTCTCTCTCCCTCGGTCCTCGGGGACGAGCCCCTCCCAACCGACCTTGCAGGAACAACAAACGCTACATGCGCATACACTTTCGGAGCTCCGCGCGGATTTCTTGGATCGGCATTGGAACCCCCATCCCTGGCGCGCGGAGCGCGCCAGGGGGGTCCCAGCGCAGATCCGAGAAGTCCGCGCGGAGCTCCGAACGGTCATGCTTACGCAGTCTTTTGCTGAGAAAGACAATTCTCGAGTTGGGAGGAGGGGGTTCGGGAAGATCCAGGGCACGACTGTGGAATAAGCCCGTTCAGCATGCGCGATGATACTACGGATGACCTGATCATTTCTTCCAGCCCCATCCTTAGAAGAAAAAAAACATACACATAAACTTTTGGCGCTCCACGCGGGTTTCTTGGATCTGCGCTTAGCCCCCTCCCTGGCGCGCGGAGCGCGCTAAGAACGGCGCCAGAGGCGCCACGTACGTCACTAGGGGGGCCCAGCGCGGATCCAAGAAATCAATGCGGAGCGCCGGAAATCTTATGCTCATGGCGTCTTCTCTGCTTCGGGCCCTCCCCATCCGAGAATTCATGGTCTCTCTGGTCTGCTCTTCGGGACCTCCTCGCCGAAGCGCTGGATGCCTGGGGATATCACAAGGTACCGATGCCGCTACTCCCCGGACCTCTCCCTGGGTGCGTTCTGACCAGGACTTCGGGGCGAATCCAGCGGTGGCGACGAGGGCCGCCCAGGATGCCCCAAAAAGGGGAAAACCAGGGAAGGGTAGAGGTATGGTCGGCTACACGCAAGAGTGACCCTGGGTAAAAGTGACCTTTGGTGCGCGGCTTTCGGGGGGCCGCGGGGGGACCAAACTCAGGCGCGCAAGACGCTACTATCGCATCGTCATCGGTGATCGGGGGACCCTTTTGTGCCCGCACCAGAGGTCGCTCCGGCGAAAGGTCACTCTTACGTGTAGTCGATGTGGGTGCCTTTTCCTCCTCTGGATGCCTCGAGGCGAATCCAGCGGTGGCGACGAGGGCCGCCCAGGATGCCCCAAAAAGGGGAAAACCAGGGAAGGGTAGAGGTATGGTCGGCTACACGCCAGAGTGACCCTGGGTAAGTGTGACCTTTGGTGCGCGGCTTTCGGGGGGCCGCGGGGGGACCAAACTCAGGCGCGCAAGACGCTACTATCGCATCGTCATCGGTGATTGGGGGACCCCGCTGTGCCCGCATCAAAGGTCACTCCGGCGAAAGGTCACTCTTACGTGTAGTCGATGTGGGTACCTTTAAGTCGGGCCTGTCCCCCTACAGGGGGATTTTCGACAACATATTAAAAGTACACAACAGATAATCAAAACATAGTCCTAATCTGGAAACTATCTTTTGAACATGTTTTGACCCTTTGGGGGTATTTTTGGGGGTACGTTTAATTTTTCGTCGAACATCCGTCTGTGGGGGGACACGCCCGACTTCAGGGTACTCCGGATTCCATAAGTAGGGGGGGTCACATTTGGCGGGGGGGTCTGATTTGAGCTGTCTTGAAGGGTTCGGGGGGGGGCAAAGTGCCGCCCTTTCATGGATGGTCTGGGGGGGTCTAAAACTTCTGGTCTGGGAGGGTTGTGACCCCCTCCCTTTTATTACGAAATCTGGAGTACCTTTTCCTTCTCTGGATGCCGGCGCCGCCCCGCGAGATGGGGTGCGCCGCCGCCGGGCGGAGCACCGCCGAGCGCTGCAGCAGCGCGAGGCCGCGCGTGCCCCGCGCGGGCGGCGGGGGCTCCGCGTGCCTGGCGGGGGGGCGTGCCACCCCTGGGGCGGGGGCGTGCCAGGCCAGGGGGGGGGCGGAGGAGGAGGAGGAGGAGGAGGAGGAGGAGGAGGAGGAGGAGGAGGAGGAGGAGGGGGAGGGGGAGGGGAGGAGGAGGCGGAGGCGGAGGCGGAGGCGGAGGAGGAGGAGGAGGAGGAGGAGGAGGAGGAGGAGGAGGAGGAGGAGGAGGGAGGAGGAGGAGGAGGAGGAGGGGAGGAGGAGGAGGAGGAGGAGGAGGAGGAGGAGGAGGAGGAGGAGGAGGAGGAGGAGGAGGAGGAGGAGGAGGAGGAGGAGGGGGGGGGGTGCGCAAGTCGTGGCCGGAGGCTGCGCAGCACATTGAGCAGGGACCGACTGTCCCGGCATTCCTACAGGCCTGCCACGAGGTGATCTTAGAACCCAAGCATGTTCTAAGAACAAACACAGTGTCCTCAGAGCATGAGCCCGATGTGTGAAAGCAGTACAATACTGGCCAGAAGTGTTCTCAGACCATTTCGTGCAGAGCCCAGAAGGTTCTTCGAACATTCTTTGGTGGGCCTATAGGCGAGCCAGGACGCTTCGCCACTGCTTGAGTACAACCTGCCCGTATAATGAGGATGCGCGACAAGGATGCAAGGGCCTTGGGCGCCCACTTCGAAGCTCTGAGAGCGGGGCGATGCCAACGAAAGGTGGCCAAGGATGAACCGAGGAGGCAAGGAAGCAAGGTGTACCCTCGGGAGGGTCGCCCATCCTTACCATGCGGGCTGACTGACTGTGTCCTCGGGGGGCCCCCTCTGTCCCATCGTGCCAGTTGTCCGTGTCGAATCCACGTGCACTCCATGTCGAATGCGTCGAGTCCGTGTCCGGTCCGTGTCGGATCCAAGTCGAATCCGCGTTGGAGTATAAGAAAGGCCAGCAATGGACAGGACAGGAGAGCTCCCCCGAAGATGCAACGCGACCGAGGCACGTGCGCGCTCCCGAAGGGGGGGGGCCCAGGGGACGTCTTGAGATGAGAAGAGGGCCCCCCCCAGATTCGAGGAGATGTCACGACCCCGGCCACGATATCCAGCCCCCACCTCTGTATCTAGAGGCCTCCTAGATGAGGCCAGAATAGATGGGGTCGGAGGATCGCGCCGCATCGGCGATACATCGGCGATGCATCGCCGATGCATCGGCGATGCACTGGCGATGCATCGGCGACGTCGGCGATGCCTCGGCGACGTCCGCGTGAAGCAAACCGGGCTCCGCATCGAGCCGCATCGGCGATGCATCGGCCATGCGGAGCGATCCTCCGACCCCATCTACTCCGACCCCATCTAGGAGGCCCAGAGTATCCCCCTCTTTCTTGGCTGCCCCCGGCTGTGCCTCGGGCTCGGCCGGGCTGCCTGCGGGCAGCGGGGTAACGCTATCGCGACGAGTAGGCAGGGCCAAGCGGCCCTTCGCTTCATGTCTGGGCGGATGTCCGGAAGTCTAGTCAGGAGGGGATTCCATGAAAGAAGGCTTGAGCCGGGGAGGAGGAGGAGGAGGAGGAGGAGGAGGAGGAGGAGGCTTTCGGGAACAAAGAATGAGCGTTCGGCCCCCTCACTCTGATATGTAAATGTGGGCACACGTTATGTGTATGTGTGTAGCTGTATATGCATCTCTTTTTGCTCATGTAAAGGGATATGTGTATGTATGTACCGTATACGCATGCATACAAATATGCACACATAAAATCAATGTGTATAGATGCATGTGTGTATACATGCATGTTGATGCACCCGGTAGTTGGGTAGTTGCGCATAAGAGTGAAAGGGGGGGCGGGGGCGGCGACAGTCTGCGAAACTCTGCAGGAGCCCGCCGCAAGCGTCGGACGTTCAACACACTCTACAGCGAGCCCGCTGCAGGCGCCGAATCCTCGTCAAACAATGTGGGTGTGTCGCGGGTGGGTTGCGGGTGGGCGGCGGGGTGGGTCGCGGGGTGGGTCGCGGGGCGGGTCGCTGGCGGGGACGACGACAACAACAGTACGCTTATAGGAATGCTCGTCCCCGTCCGCTCGCATGCCATCCAACACGTACCTGCCGGGCCCTCGGTCGCCGCCCTCCTTGTCTTCGGTTGTGCCCCCTTTTCGGGGGGTATATGCGCCTCGCATGCCACGCGACTTGAGCGCAGCCCCATAAACATGGCAGGAGGGGGGCTGGGAACAGAAAGCACGCGGCCTAACCAGACGGGCAGATCGGGCGGCGGCCAGGCTCCCGTCCGTGCTTCGAGCCTGCGCCCTGCCGTGGCTCCCGAGGGCGCCCCGAACCCGAACAGGGCACACACACACACACACGAATCGTGCGCGCACCCGTGCCGCACAGCAACGGCACGACGCAGGGGCATCGCGCTGTTAGCCGACCGTCGCGTGAAAACACAAAGATGCCGCGGGCACGTGCGGGAGCGGCAGCAGCACGAACACGATAGGGGAGAGGAGGGGCGGAGAGGAGAACGACCAAGACGGACCAGCGACCCCCCGAAACCCTGACGGGGCTACCGCCGAACATCAAGGTGCGCAAACAAGGATGGGTAAAGAACAGACCTTGGCGGGCGGGTCGGGACAAGGAGGGCCCAGGCGGCCAGTTCGAGCAGGCGGGTTGCTGAAGCGTGAGTCCTGCATGCATCGCGAAGGTGTTTCTGGCGATAGCGCGATTCCCCAGTAAGCGAGAGCGTGATTCCTGAGAGTCGAGGGCGCGGCGTCTGGACAGGTTGCGAGGAAGTCCCACGCGAGAACGCGATTCGTGCATACACTGTGAGGAGATCCCGCGCAAGAGCGCGATGTTGGAATACGTTGTGAGGAAGTATCAGACGGGAGCCGTTGTTGTTATTGTTGTTGTCGTGCTGTCAAACAGGGTTTGATCCCAAAGGGGGGGACTTCAATTGAACAACAGGATGTACACCGGTGGGGGGTCAACATTATTCCTCCCAAGTATGAGACTTCAAAGAAAAACAACACCATAATCAGCACCAACACCAACGCCAACACCACCAACAACAACAACAATCATCTTACCCGAATGCTCTATATCCTATATGCCGCATGCATCCATCATGATAGCTCCCGCTAATTCGGCATAGTTTCTTGCTCAAGATGTCCGATATTCCTTTACCAATCTCCCGCCAGAGGAGGTCTTGACAATAGCTCTTCCGAGGCACTTCAACATCTCCAGCCCGGATGGCACATCGCATTCGCAGCGACCCCCCATGCCTCGCTTCCAGGTACCACCCTGCCCGGAATGGCCCTCAACCTTGGGGAGAAGCCCCACTACCTCTGAGAGATCCCTAGGAACCCCTTGGACAGCCTCTGGAGCCCCTTGGACATCCCCCAGAGCCTTTCACAGAAGCTTCATTCAAAACCCCTGGTGGGAAACATGGGGGCTACTGGGGGGTCGCATTACAATTTCCGGGCATCTCGAAGGATGCCTCAAGGTATTATTTGAAAAGGCTTGGTAAGGAAGAGGGAGCAGGAGGAGGAGGAGGAGGAGGAGGAGGAGGAGGAGGAGGAAGGATGACAGAAGACTCGAGGGGAGGAGGAGAAGGAGGAGGAACAGGAGAAGGAGAAGGAGGAGGAGGAGGAGCAGGGGGAGGAGGAGGAGGAGGAGAGGGAGGAGGAGGAGGACGACGACGAGGACGACGGGGTCGCCGCCGCGGGTTCTCGGGCCGCCCCTGGCACGCGGAGCGCGCCAGGGAGGCACTGGCGCAGACCTCCGACAGTGCATACTGCTTTCTTGAAGATCGGCGCCACCAGGGAAGCCACAGGGCTTCTGGGAGTCTTGAATAACGGCAGTGGATGTGTCGAGCGGGACTGTCGTTGCTTGCAGGTGGGGCCGTCTGCGGCGCCGAGGCGGGAACGCCGGTCCTGGATAACAAACAATGAAGTATTGAGCGGGACCGCGGGCTTTCGGCGGCGAGCAAGGAGCCCCGGCCCCGAAGTGAAAAAGATGAAGTATCGAGCGGGAGTGTTGTTCATGTTGGAGGGCTTGTTTCGTCGCACCCCCGAAAACGCCTGAGCGTGAGACTAATGTTCACAGGAAATGCGGCCGACGCCGAGGCGAGAGCGCCAGTGCGGATGTAGGGTGTGCCGTGGTAAAAAATTTCATAGTATCAAAATTCAACGTGGACTAGGGAAGCCTCCGGGCCTCAGGGAGTCTGAGTAAAGCGGCGGACGTATCGAACGGGAGTGTCGTTGTTTGCAGGGAGGCTGCTTGCGGCGCCGAGGCGGAAGCGCTGCTCCTGAATAAAGAACAAAGAAGTATCGAGCGGGAGCGCCTGTTTTTTGGAGAAGGCGGCTTTCAGCTAAGAGCGAAAGTCCCGGTCCCGATTAGAAGGGAGGAAGCATCAAGCGGGAGCGTTGTTGAATTCACACTACTGAAGAAAAGCTATTGTTGACCCACCTCCAAAAACATATGTTTTTTCAATTGAAATGCCCCCCCCCCGGGCCCACACCTGTTCTTAACAGGACAAAATATTCCTGCTCAAACTGTGCCCCTGGCCCCCGGTTTACAACAACAGCAACAACAACGGCTCCAGTCCTTGCAAGTTATTGAAGAATCGCGCTCGCGCTCGGGAATTCCCCGCAATTTATCCAAGAACCGCGCTCTCGCCTGATACTTCCTCGCAATGTATCCAAGCATCGCGCTTACTCAGGACTCGCGCTGTCGCTTGAGACTTCCTCGCAATTGATTCAGGCGCCGCGCCCTCGACACTCAGGAAACACGCTCTCGTCTTGGCTTGCCTCGACACTCAGGGAACACGCGCTGTCGCTCAAGGCTTCATCGCGATTCATGCAGGAAGCACGCTTCAACAACCCGCCTGCTCGCCGTGGCCGCCCTGGCCCGCCTGTTAGGGTCTACCCGCCCGATGTGCCCGTCTGTTTCTGCCACGTGTTTTCTGCTCCTAGCCCCCCTCTTGCTACTCTTTCTGTCGACCTCCATCCTCCTCTTTCCCAGTTGTCCCTTCCTTCCATCCGTCCTCTCTTCACATGCCTTATGTGCTGCACGAAATGCACGTTGAGGGAAAGAAACCTATACCCCCAAGAGTGATCCGATCGAAGACGGGAGGGTGTGTATCGAGGGTGGGACACACGTGTTGAATGGCACGCGAGCAGATAAGAGCGAACAATAGTTAAACTACTATTGTTGCTGTTGTTACTGTTGTTGTTGAGGTCGTTGTTGTTGTTTTTGTCGTTGTTGGGGGGGGGCGGTTTCGGCGCAACACGGAAACGCCTGAGCCTGAGCCTAATTCTCAAACAGGACATGCATCCGGCGCCGAGGCGAGAGCGCCATTGCGGAGGTAGGGTGTCCCACGGTAACACTTGTCATGCTGTTCCTGTCTCACGTGGACAATGGAAGTCTCAGGGCCTCGAGGAGAGCGAGCAGGATAAGGAGGAGCTCGTAGAGGGGGAGGAGGGGGAGGGGGAGGGGGGGGGGGGAGGGGGAGGGGGGGGGGGAGGAGGAGGAGGAGGAGGAGGAGGAGGAGGAGGAGGAGGAGGAGGAGGAGGAGCAGGAGGAGCAGGAGGAGCAGGTGGGAGTTTTGAATGAAAGCGGAGGACGTACCGAACTGGAGCGTCGCTGCTTGCAGGGGGGGGGGGGGGCGCTCAAGGCGCCGAGGCGGGAGCGCCCGTCCGGAGTAGCAAAACAAAAGCGTATCTCGCCATCGCTCGGACGTCAATGTTTTGTGTTTTTTTCGGTTTCGTGCGTGGTTGTTTCGCCAAATGATCGAGGATGCTCCTCGATGGTCCTCGCCGAGGAAAAAAAACGCACACGTCCGAGCGATGCCAAGGTATCGAGCGGGAGCGCCAGATCTGTGGGAAAGGCGGCTGCCGGCGGCGCGCCAGGAGCCCCCGCCCCGAGTGGAAAAGAAGGCAGTCTCGAGCGGTGGCGTTGTTGATGTGTGTGGGGGGCATATTAAGGAGGGTGTGCCGCTGGATAACCCCAAGGGGGGGGGTTGGGACCCCCCCCCTTGGGGGTGGGGTGGGCAGGGGGGGTTCGGACCCCCCCCCCTTAAGAAGGGGAGGGGGGGGGGTTCGGACCCCCCCCCCCCCTTGGAAGGGGGAGAGGGGGGGGGGGGTTCTGGACCCCCCTCCGTTTTTGTGTATTCAGGGAGATCCGCTGGCGCACTTTCCATATCAGGGCGCACGCCCGTAACGCCTGAGCGTGAGCCTCGATCTCAAAGGGCATGCAGCCAGCGCCGAGGCGAGAGGGCCAGGCGCCCCTTGGCTCCAACATTGATGAATTCAGTTGCATACCAGCAGCAGCAGCAACAGCAGCGGCAACAACAGCAGCAACAGACATTGACTGCTCGTTCTTGTTGGCTAGCGTGTCACTCAGCATGTCTATCCCGAATTCTCGATACCCGCCCTCTTCGTCTTCGACCGTCCACCCGCTGGAAGCATGTTCCCCAGACCTGACACGTGCAGTTGGCGCAGCGCCTGAAAACAGGGGAGGGGGGGGGGGGAGGGGAGGGCCAAGGGGGAGGGAGAAGGCAGGAGCACGACAGAAACTAGCAGGAGCGGCGCAAAGAGCAAGGGAAGCAGATGGCAAAACCAGACGGGCGGGCCGGGCGGGCGCACCCTCACAGGCGGGTCGGGCGGGCGGGGCCGCTGGCGCGAGCGGGCGGGCCTCTGAAACGTCAGCCTTGCATACTTCGCAACAGCAACGCAACAACAACTCTGCCGAATGTTGCATAATACACACACACACACACCTACGCAGGACGAAAGATGTCCCACTTGAGGTGCAAATGGCGATGATGCGTTGGAAAGTAATGACCGAACACCCTTCCCCCGTAGAATCTTAACACGGGCAAGTTCCGGGGTCCGCGGATCCGATTTCCTCCGGCTTCCCGTTAAAAATCGGATCCACCGTAAACAATAGGACCGAGCACGGATCCAGCAAATCCGAAATCGGATCCGCACGGACTGAAATCGGATCCACCGAAACAAACACCAAGGCACACTTGGATCCACGTGAATTTCATGGGATCCGGCGGCGAGTATCTCATACGCGTCTGCTCAAGACTTCAAGCCGTTGTTCCAGGCCCAAGAGGAAAACACTCGCGTGCTGGGGATGTATACTAGAACCGCGAGCGCTACTCGCGCGAGCTTAGGTTCTAGCGTGAGACAAGGGCAAGCCACATCGCGGTTGCAGGAACCATCTACGGAGGAAAAAGAGGAGGAGCACGAGGACGGCGGAGGCGAAGCGAAGGAGGATCTGGAGGAGAGGGTCGACGAGAAGGAGAACAAGGAGTGTTATGCTCCTGGGAGTCCTCTTAAGACCTCTTAGTGGGGAGCGTTTGCGGATCTTTCGGCGTGTTGTCCTGAGATTGTGGTTCCAAGTGGCGTCCGCAAGGACCCCGAAAGTCCAGAGTTTGCATCTTTCCCGGGCAAGGGGGGAGCAGCAGGAGGATGAAGAGAAACGGGGGCGAGGATGAGGTTTTAAGGAATCGGCTGAGGCGATTTCGAAGTACGCCTGCCCGAGAGAACACGCGAAGGAGGACGAGAGGGGGCAAGGAGGGGGAAAGGGAGGAGCAGGAGGAGAAGGCTGCAAAGGGAGAGACAGAGGGAGGGGGCCCTGTCTGTCTCGACCTCGCAAGAACCTCGCACACTTCTCACCCTGCCTCTTCCGGCGGCCAGGCCTGGTTCGATGATGCCCACGCGGCCGCGTCGACTGTTCTCTGGGCCGGCCCCGGCCATGTTCAGTTGGCAAAGGCGCCACTGGGGCACTAGAGTCACGTTTGGGATCCTCATGTAATTCACAATATCATCCGAGAGCCTCGCCTTCCTACTTTCTGCATGTTCCTCGATTAGAGCGACTCGCTCACACTCAATCGCGCTCATATCTAATCGTATTCAAACTCACGCAAATTCAAACACAATCGCACGCAGACTCGCCCACACTCTGACTCATTCACACTGAGAGGCTTCACAGTCGGGCTTACACACACGCACGCACTGAGACTCGCTCATACTCAAACGCACTACACTCAGACCCACTCATATTCATACTCATCACACTCAGACTCCCTCACCCCTGGACGCACTCACGCCCACACCCGTACTCCTCTCATAGTCAGACGCAGACTCACTCATACTCAGTGGTACGTCCAATGGTCACTGCGATAACAGAGGCGTAGCACTGGGGCACCCCAAGGAGGAGGGCGCGAGGGGTCAAGAGGCTCCAAGATTCGCGCCCAGGTCGTTGAGGATACCTCAGGCGGTCTGCCTGTTTGCATGCCCGACATCATTTTCCTATCGGGGCAGATTCTGACCGTGTGTCTGGCGAGGCGCTGGTTTCTGGTTTCAGCACTCCTATGGGGAGGGCACCAAGGGCTCAGGACACTCTAGGAAACGCGCCCAAATTGTGTGGATGCTTTAAGTCGTTTGCCTGTTTACATGCCCGACATATTCTGCTTTCGTAGCGAATTTTGATGATGTCTCAAGTGAGGCGCTGGTTTCAGCACCAATAAACGGGGGCGCCAAGGGTGGGGACACCCCAGGATTCGCTCCCAGATAGTGGGGATGCCTCTAGCGGGCAACCTGCTTGCATGTCCAACACCCTCTGTTTTCGGAGCGTGTCCTGTGCTATAATCTGTCCAGGGAGGGAGGAGGACGTCACTGAAGTCGTCGCTGTCGTCGTCGTCGTCATTGCCGCGCCTGTCGCCTACGCGGAGTCCCTCTCACACACAGGTGCTCATAGAAAGAATTCCTCAACGAAGCGTGACAGGAATATGAGATGCACTGATGGAGATCTGCGCGTCGAGTAATCTTAAACATCCGAGGAGCCTTTCAAGACTGCAAGCAACATCTCTTGACTTCATGGTCAACTCGCGGGGCTGGTACGATCCAAGTCCGGGAAACATGTTAGAAATCAGTGTTGGATCAACTTGATCACGTTGGGAGCGAACTTGAAAGAACTTGACGCACGGCTGCCCGTAGCCATTCGTCATAGGTGTGTACGAAGACATCAAGTTTCGCAAACCATCATCGACGGTGAGCATACAGAGTGGAGAGTACAAACACATCTTGGAGCGTCTTGGAGCGTCTCGGGAGCCTCTGGTGGACCTTTCGGAGCTTCTTGGGGTGGTGTTTGGGACATCCCGCGGCCTATTTTTTCCCACGGGACAGACCTGCACCGACAGATCTGCGCCATGGGGATCGCTCTGGTCGCCCCCCAGGGGGAGCATCGCTCTGGAAAACAATAAACTCGTGAGACGGACCGCTCGGTGCAGCGAGGCGGCACAGCAACAGCGAACGAAAAAATCAGGACCTTCTGGGAGCCAGAGAGAAAGATCACTCAAGTCGGCCAACGCCGCATCCTCAGAGTGCCTAGACTCGGAACTCCCAGGCAGGTACCCAGGGAAGACCACCCATCTGTGGCGCATCGAGGCAGCACCTCAATTTCGGAGTAAAAAACAAGGACCCTATGGGAGCACGGAGACAGAGCAGCAACAGCAGGCCAACGCCGATACTGAGAAGCGCCCTGACTCTGAGCTCCCAAATAGGGTCTCATCCATCTGTTGACGATGTGTACGACAATCATGCGACCATGGCCGACCATTGCCTCTCTACCACCGCAACCACCACTGCTACTCGTGGTACACATCGCCTTCTCTGAGACCGAACGTGCGTGGCAACGTAAACGTTGCGAACTCCCCGTGGGCACACCTCCTACCAGTCAGAAGCTTGCCGCGCTACTGGGCGAGCCGCGGTGATACTAATACTATAACAGGCGGGCCCCGATACGCAAGATCGGTACGCATCTGGACGACGAGGCGCGGCACTGGCGACGGTCGCAAGTGCCGAGCAGCCGTGCTCCAGGCCCTCCTGCAGAACAGCGCCTCGCGCCAGCGCCACTGGCCCGAGGCAGCGCGGGTGGGCCCAGCAGGCGCAGCCCTGCTCAGTGCCGCCGTCCGCGGTGCCACGAGCCGGGCTCCTGCTGGTGCGCCCCCGCCCCGCGCCTGCTGCCCTCTGCGCCACGCCCCCGCCGCTGCTGCCTCCAGGACCTGCCGGCCCCGGAGGCCTCCGGGCCCTCCTTGCGCCTGTCGGACACGAAGTGTGGGCGGTGCGAGTTCACCCGCGCGCACTGCACGGCCGTCTTGCTGTAGTACTCCAGGTTCTTCTCGAGGCCCTGGATGTGGGCCACCGAGATCTGGGCCACCTTCCTGGAGCCGTGCTCGAAGCGGTCGAACGTGTAGTCCGCCACGTCCGTCACGCACCGCCTGGCTGCCTCGGGTGTCTTGAAATTTACGAACGCGTACCCAACGTTCCACTGAGTGCTCTTGTCGATCGGCAGGTAGATGAAGTCGTAGTCGCCTTCGAAGCCCAGGCTGTCCAACTCCTCGATGAGCATGCTCCGCGTGTACACGTTGGGTATGTTGCGGACCATCAGCGTGGTCACGCTGTCCTCCCCCGTCTTCCCTGCAAACCTGGCCATGTCCGTGTTCTTGGGGACGTTGCTGTGGCTGAGCTTGTGGGCGCCTTTGCCGCTCTCCCCGTCCTCGCTCTCCCTGCCAGCCTCCCTGGCCTCCTCTGCGGCGGACTTTTCGCTCTCCCCCTGCGAGTCGTAGGCGTCCTCGCCCTCGTCGGTGCTGTCGGCGGCGCTGCCGCTGCGGAGACCCTTGCCGTCGTCGTCCCCGACAGGACACACGTATCCCCATGCGTGCTCGGGGGCCCAGCAGTCCGCGACGCCGAGCGCGACGCTTGGGTCGATGCTCCATCCGCTGCTGGCGTGTTGCTCCGCCGCGGCGGCCTCGATCGGAACCACCATGAAGCACTGGGAGCCATCCTGAACGCCGTAAGGGTGCGAGGACACACCATACAGCATCGGCATCCCTGGCCACGCTCCCGCAGCGACCTGTGCGTCGGCCTGCTCCTGGTAAGGATTGGGCAGCCACGCGTCCTCCTCTTCGTCGATGGCCCGAAAGCTCGCCTCGTAGCACGCCGGGACCTCTGCGCATGCAGAGTCAGGGATGGCCGAGCTCATCCTGGTATGTTGTTATATGCACGAAGATCTCAGACCTGAGAGGGTAATGGATGCAAAACAAAACGTTGAGGCAATCTGTCTTGAGCCAAAATGGCTGCGGATTGGAACATCCGGGGGCCTTTTGGGCGACGCGAGGGGGCATGTTGGGGGCCTTTGGGACCACATTTGGGGGAAAGGCTTGGAATGTCCCTGCGATTACCCCTCTCGAACCTCTCTTGGGGCCCTCGTTGGACCCTCTCTTCTCCGCACCAGCCCTCAGCACACTTCCTCCACTGCCCTTCTCCTCCTGGCGTAGCACTTGCAGCCGTGCTGATGATGGGTCTCGAGGTGCGATTGTGGGGAAGGCGTGAAAGCTCACGCTGGCGAAGTCCAGCGCGCGTAGCAATGCAGTGCCCTCTCTCTGGACGGAACAAGAATTGGCCCAACTGGGCTCCGACTGAGGCTGGGGGGCGTCTGAGGAGCAGGGATTTGGCTTGCGTTTGGCCCTGCCGCCCATCGTCCCCAGCGGTTATTCCCACTCCTCCCAACACCCTTCCCCGTCGCAGTCTCATCCTTTCTTCGTGTCAGCTTCCTTGCTTGCACGGCCGTTGGTTCTGCATCCTTCGAATGATGCTGGAGGCCTCTCCTAGACATGCCACTTTCGCCCCCCGCCCGCGGCCACCACCTCTTCCTCCCTCTGTCCTTTTCTCTTGATCCTCTCTCTCTCTCTCTCCTCTTTGGTTTCTCTCTCTCTCTCTCTCTCTTGCTTTTTCCGTTTTCTATATCTTAGAATCCGTGGGGATGCGGAACTCCGCCCCCGCAAAACGGGACCCCCAGGATCGGTGGAACCGGGGGCCCCCTGAACGCACCAGCAGCAGGTCCCCTGGGATTTCCGCGCTCATGGAAGCCCCTGCTGGGCCTAGGCAACGGGCACAGATCGGTCAGGAGGGTGGCCGAACGGCCCCGCGAGAGCCCCAAGAGACCCCAGACACCCACCAAACGCCCGAAGACGACACAAACACGACCCCCAAGAGGCCGTCGAAAAGACCCGGGCAATCCAAGAAAGCCTCAAGACGGCGCGAAGCACTCCAAATCGTGACCCGGTCGTTCAGGGAAACCGCGGTTGCAAGCAGGGTGGCACGAGGAAGCCCCCAGAGGCCCCCAGAAGACCCCCAGGAGGCCTGCAGAAGTCTCCAGGAAGCCCTTCATAACTTTTGTGAGGGCCCCACGAGGCTCTCCAAGGAGGAGCCTCCGCAAAAAGAGCTGAGGAGGATGGACGAATTGCATGGTGGACCGAGACGGACGAAGACCAAGAGGAAGCAGAAACGAAGATACTGAACACCATGAGTACAACGATGATGCCCGAAACGACCGCAAGGAGTTATCGTTGCATGTTATGTGTTACTTACTCTCCTACCCTTGTTGCCTGCACGCCCTAACTTCAAGAACCGAGGTGCATGGCGCGAAACTCCAATGCAGTATTGTTCTGGGCCGCCCCGAAACGCAACACGCAACCCCCGTAGCGTGTTGGCATGAAGCTCAGCACGCAGACTGGACGCGTATAGGTCTGGCGCGACACGTTCGCCGGCACGGTGTGCCAACGCGTGCCGAGCCAACACGCAACGTGCCACCAAAGACGTGCTGAGCACGGCACGTGCTGCGTTTCAAAGCGGGCGTTCCCGGGCAGCCAAGGTCTTATGTATACATAAATATAGATGTTAAATAAAAACAGATGCGTGTATAGTTGTAGAGGTGTCTCTGCCGACCTCTCTCTCTGTCTCTCTTTTAGTATCCCTCTCTCTCATTGCCGCTCTCTCCCTCTCTCCCTCTCTCTCCCTCTCTCCTTCTCTCCTTCTCTCTCTCTCTCTCTCTCTCTCTCTCCCCCCTTCCAGCCGAGGAGCGGGGGCAACGCCTGCCGACATCGCCGAGCGAAGGCGCCGCCCTCGCTCTCCGGAGGCTGGTCGGCCGCCGCGCGCGCGGCGCGCAGGGCGCGAAAGGGCGCGTAAGGCGCGTGCGCAGCGCGAGGAGCCTCGGGCGGTGCCTGAGCCTCCGCGCGGAGCGGCGCGCGCGGCCGACGGGCGGAGCGGAGCGCCGACGGGCGGCGCGGAGAGGCCCCGGCGAGACGGAGCCAAGACGAAGGCACCATCGGGCGAGGATAGTGGAGGCCCGACCACAAGAAGCCTCCCACGAGAGGCCCAACCCTGAGACCGGAAAGAAAAATAAAGACACATAAGCATAAGCTTCTGGCGCTGCGCGCGGGTTTCTTGGATCTGCGCTGGACCCACCTCCCTGGCGCGCGGAGCACGCCAGGGGCGGCGCCGGAGGGGAGAGCCCAGCGCGGATCCAAGAAATCCGCGCGGAGCCAAAAGTTTCTGTTAATGGCGTTTTTCTTCTTCGGCACAAGAGACCCAACCCTAAGAACCCAGGACGTCCTTTGATGATTGGTGTGGGAACGTCACGCCTGCCATGGGCAAAGCCATCGAAGCCCAAGAACCCCAGGGCACCCTGGAGGCAAGCAGGGTGTTTCTTGGCATGGTGCTCCACTGTACACCGAGAATATCTGAGATCCGGCGGCTCAAGACGAAGCCAGGACGAGGATAACATGGGGTGAAGATGCACCGAACATCTCTGGGTTCCGGCGGCTTAGGAAGATGTCTCGGGCGCCGCGGCAGTCTCGGAGCGTTCCGGAACGCTCTGACAGCGTGCCGGAACGCCCTGGAGCAGATTGATCCTCGTCCGAGCCCCGCCAGACAGAGCCCGCCGTGGCTGAAAGCTTTGAGGTCCCACCACCGGACGTGGGGAGTGCGTCTCACAGGGCCGTACTTGTGGGCGTGGACAGTGACGAAGTGGGCCAGCGCAGAGGCAACAGCCGTGCTGTCCATGAGTGTGGTGAGAGCACCTTCGAGGATCAGGAGACTCGCGTCCTCCCAGTCGATACCGCATGTGGGCGCCGGTAGTGACAAGGCCGTCGCAGCTGGCGGTCTGAGGAGCGGGTCCCCGTGCGAAAATCCGCACACTCACACGCGCACACACACAATCACTCACACACGCGCACACACACCATCCAGCAACAAGGCTCGAAGGGCGGTTGCGCCACGAGCAGCACTCACGAGCAGAGACGACATGTGGCGACTGCACGCGTGGCGGAGACCAGCAGCACAGACAGCACGGAAACAAGAACGATCAGCCGCGCCCGCGCGTGGGCGCGCCTGCTTCCCAAACCCTGGGACGTCGACCCCCAGAGGTCTCGACCCCTTCCCCGGGACCGGCTTCTCGTCCTGAAGCGTTTTCTGACGGCCCCGAGGCCCGGTGAGGGCCCCTGGAGGCCGAAAATAGCGAACAACCCTCCGTCGTGATCCCTTCGTGCCTCGAGGGGGGCTGGGCTCGACCCACCGATCGACTTCGCGCTGCCCCCGCCCGCCCCGCGCAGCCCCGCCTGCACCGCCGGCCCCGCAGCTCTCGGCGCGCTATGGCGGCGTGCTGCGCCTACGGCGCCCGCGGCTCGTGGCGTGCGGCTCGAGCGGCTCCTGGCGTCGGCTTCTTTTGTTGGGGTGGGGGTCAGGAGGGGTCCAGGGGGAGAAGGAGGGGGAGGAGGAGGAGAAGGAGGAGGAGGAGGAGGAGGAGGAGGAGGAGGAAGAGGAGGAGGAGGAGGAGGAGGAGGAGGAGGAGGAGGAGGATGAAGAGGAGGAGAGGAGGAGGAGGAGGAGGAGGTCGAGGAGGAGGAGGAGAGAGGAGGAGAAGGCGGAGGTGGAAGTTGGGGAAGGAGAAGGAAGGAGGGACGAGGAGGAGAAGCAGGCGGAGGAGGTGGAGAAGCAGCGGGAAGAGTCGTGGGAGGAGCGCGGCGACGACGACGAGGACGACGCGTCAAGGCCCACACCTCTGGCGATCCCGCTGGTTCCATCCGGGCGTGCTCTCTCGACGCCGGCCTCTGGGACAGCGCGGAACCTAAACGGTGTCTTTCGTTCTCGTCTTGTTTTCGTTTCCCCTCGTTTTGTCTTCCATCCACCTCCACCGCAACACGAGGTCGAAACGAAAAATCGGCCCACGACATCGCCAAAAACCACCGTTTAGGTCTGGCCCTGCTCTGGGACCCGCTCTCGGGCCCAGGGGAGCATCAACAACGGGCCTGGGCCGAAGAACGCCCCCCCCGAGGAGGAGGAGGAGGAGGAGGAGGAGGAGGAGGAGGAGGAGGAGGAGGAGGAGGAGGAGGAGGAGGAGGAGGAGCCGAGGAGGAGCCGCGGGTGGGTCGTGAGCTCGGAGATCTGGCGCCGCGCGCCGCGCACCGGAATAAAAAATCAGACAAGCACGCATCGACGATGACGACGATGACGACCTGCTAGGATCAAGGGGCCCCAGGACACACAAATAAATGCACACAAACAAAAAGATTCCCAATATTTTCACATATTTTCTGGGTTTCTGTCTTCCCCCCCACTTCCCATATTTTCCCAGATTTTCCTGAGGGTCGACGATTACTTGTGTCTGTTTGTTTTTCCCCTCCTGAGACATGCTCGCATTATTTTCGAGCGTGCTCGTTGGTTGCCGGACGGCTGCGTCGAGGCCTGGAGCTTCCGGAGCGGGCCGCGTCGGCATGGAGTCGGGGTCGGATCGGGCCAGGAGTCCCTGAGCACGGCATGGGCACATTTCTTGCCCGAGTCTCCGGGTGAGCGGGGAGCTTCGGAGACCTCCAGGGACTTTCGGATACCTCCGTGGTCCATGGAGGAGAAGGAGTGAATGAGTGAAAAAGTGAGTGAGTGAGTGAGAGTGAGTGGGTAGGTGAGAGTGAGCGAGTGAGTGAGTGAGTGAGCGAGAAACCCCCAAAGCACGTCCCTAATCTGACCTGCGGGACTGAAAGCCTAGCGCGCAGAAGCCCTGGGCTCGCCACCAGTGCCGATGCGGGACAGGGAGGCAGAGGGAGAGCGAGCGCACAAGCTGGACACCTCTGAAGCCCTGCGTCCCTGAACCTCTTGGCCCACCCGCTCTCCCGCCTTCTGGCCCACCCGTTGAGGAGCAGCAGGAGG